TTACAAAAGATTAAAGATTATTAAGGTTCATTCTATTTTCCAATAAATGATGAGAAATTATTAAATTAGGATATCAGGATCGAATATGTTAACCCTGCTATAAAAGTTCCATTGAAAACCATTGAAGAATTTCTGAATGGTTTTCAATCTTCGATCTGAACACTCCAAATGACCATTGAATATGATTCCTCATCCAACAAGAAATGTCAAGATATTAAATACTATTGGTTCCAATAATATAGATTACTATTGATTCCTAATCGAGATTAATCATTATCAATAGAAAAATATACTATTAAAGTAATGGTTTTCAATAGGATTCAATGAAATTTCTCATGTATGTTACCCAATCGATTTCAATGGTAAAATTCGTGGTCAAATCGAAGATTTGAAACCATTCGAATGCGATAATCAATTTGATTGAATTGATATCAATGGTTTGTTATTGCAACATTCAAGTCTCGTATCGTTGAATAATTTTCAATAGTTTTGAATACGAAAGTCGTAACAACTCAATAATATCCAGTAGAAAATATCAATCTAATTGAATGGGGATTAATGGTTTGTTATCGCAGAATCAACTTTTTTTCTGACGTTGAATAATTTTCGATAGTTTTTAATGTGAAAATCACATTAATCCAATATTATGCAATAGCAGAAATTAATCCCATTGAATAAGTATAAATGGTTTGTTATTGCATAGTTAAGGATTGGTGCATGGTTTACAAAAAGTGTATTTATAAAAGCACTGTATATCACAGTGAAGAATACAACCGAGCGAAGAAAACTGATGATACTGTCGTTAGACTTACTAGTGGACAATACGCTAGAATAACAAAAATTCTCGAACATGACGACGATTCATACATTGTTGTACAAACGTACAACGTATTTCCAGAATATCCATTTGAAGGAGTGACTCATATCCGAAAAATTCAAAGCGAAAACGAGATTGATCTCATCAAACCCATTGGTGAAATAGATTGCAAAATAATTTTGGTAGACGTTAGAAATGCTAGATATTTATGCAAAATGCCCAATTCATTTGAAATCCAATAATAATGTTCATGTCAATTTTTGTAATTTGTTGATGTACATAAAAAACCATTTATTTACAATTGAAAAAAAATCGAATACCCATTAAAAATTATATTCGAATATGTTTTTACTTAAAAACTATTAAAATTGATAAAAGTCTATTCAATCAAATCATATACGGAGTTTTTTCATTCATGACCTATATAAAATTATAATATCCAAAGCATAAGATACGATTCTTCAATTATAGTATCGAACAACTATTCAAATTTATAAAAAATCATTCAATTATGGAAATTTTTTCTTTCATCATCTAATGAAAAATTATAGAATAAAATTATATTTGATAAGTTTGTAGAATGAAGGATTATTCAAAACTATACAAACAACTTCTCAATAGAATACGATTGAGTTTTACTTGCATTTACCAATCATTAGATTTCATTAAAAAATATTCAATTGAAAATATTTGAAATTTTTTTGTTTGCCTTTCATAAGAAATTATAGAATACTATACCTCATTGAATGCGATTGGGTTATTTTTATATTGACCAATCATTAAGATTAAAAAAAAAACTATTGAATGAAATATTGCTAAAGTTACAGTATTGCTTTTGCTCATATTGGCATATATGGAAAACCATTCTATAAAATATTATTGACCAACCGTGTAATTGGATAAAAATTAATATCCATATAATATGATTCAATAAAATATGATTGGACAATTATTGTATCGAAAAATTATTAAAATTCATAGAAAGATATACAATAAAAAATCATTGATTAATTATTTTATTGAACTGTGATTGATATTCATTCAATGCAATTGGATAGATTATCATTGAAACCATTCCTATACAAAGTATTATTCAGAAAGATTGAATTCTATTAAATTTAATGGTAAGTTTTACTATTAGTTATGCTTACCATGAAGTATTATTGAAAATCATTCAGTTTCAATCGTCATCGGAACATTGAACCATTCAGTTCATTGATTACCATTGAATATGAATGATCCCGAATAGGAATGAATGGAACTTTTTTAGCAGGGAAAACTTATAGAATGGAATACATTGAATGCAAATATTTTTAATTAAAAAGTATTCGATATTATTCGATTTAATCCATTTAAATTTTAACTGATCTGATTAATTTTAATTAATCACTTTCAATCATTGTGTTTGAAATGAATTCAATCGATTTTTTAAGGATTCAGATCGAGAATTGAAAATTAAAGGTATATTTTCAATCATTTTCTATCCTTCACTTTTAGCAGAGTTGATACTCATTTTAATATATAGATAATTAACACGTTTTACACACACACACACACACACACACACACATAGCCTGCTTCACCTAATTCTTCAATGATTAAGTGAATTTTATTAACATTGATTAGGATTACCAACTGCTCGTTTGGCTATGAGTAATCTTAGTTGATCAACAAAGTCATTCGGATTAATCTAATGATGTCTCATTTCTTGCCACTTTGTAGCTACATTAAAGGTCACTTTCACCGATAGACTATCGTTTTTTAGCACAACTATTGAAAGATAAATCAGGTCTAATGTAGGTTTTGAATATTTTAAAATGTTTATTTCGATATTCTCTATTTCATTGTATTTGATAATAATTTATATAAGCACCTACAGTAATAGGGCGGTTACCGTGCTAAAACTAGGACAAGTAGAATGAATCTCAATCCAGTTTAATATTTTTATTCTAAAATTAATTTTACATATTATAATAATTAATGTCAGGATAGAAAAATATTAAAGGGGATGCAGATCGATTCAACTTTAATGAAGTTAAATTGTCATTTTTGCGATTCAGAAATAGACTTAAAATGATTGGATTTTCGATCCAGTTGAATGTCCTAGAGAGTAAGATGTCCCTGGTTAAAGTCTCTCTAAGATTGTAATGGTCCTATCTATGAGCTAGTTTATTACATCACTGAATTACTGCAACTAGTCTAACGTATTTATCTGTTTATTCAAATCAATACATCAAGCGGCGCTACCTCACTGTTTACGCGATTGTATACAAATAAGAGTCGAATCAAAATAAACAGCGTGACGTCACAAAGTAATAGATATAGATATAATGATTTTGGATATTAAGAAAAATATGTTAATTAGAGATAATTTTAATATAACAAAGTATTTATTATATAAATTTAAGTACGTAGATTCAGAATATAATAACACAAATTGCATTTAATTATGAAATAATAATGAATTTTAATATGCAAAATTGATTTATTTATTACGCTAACAATATGAATTATTAGAAAAATGTAAATATGCAAAGTGAATAAGTATAGAACATGAGTAAGAATTGGTTTCATTAATAACAGCTGAATAATAACTGTTACTAGTAAATAAACAATTAATAATTTATTTAAACAATAAGCTGTATATAGAACGAAAGTATTAATTTTATACTTGAAAATGATAGCTTTATAATTTAGGAATCTTAAATAAATAATCTAATAATCGTATTATAAGATTAGGAAAAACCGTTACAAATATGAAAAATTAGTTATAATTCAAATGTTATTAACTAATTTAAATATACATTTTTGGAAAATACCTCTAAATTAAATCAACTATAAAGTTATATCAAAATTTAATAATTTTCTATTGTAAATATTGTAATATCACGTTAATTAACTTTATTAGTTAATAACTTTTGACGACACTATTGGCGATAATTGTATATTGTATAAAATCAACAAAGAACAAATTCTGTAAAGTTTACATGTGTTAAAAGCTTAATATTAATGGTTATTTACTTGTAAATTAAGAAAACTCATTTCTCAAAATTCGCGAATGTATCTCGAATTTTCGATGACATCTCTCCTGCAAAAATAAGCGGGAAAATCTGTGTATAAATAGGCCCACCTTTGCACAGGCTAGCATTCACTTCTAGCCTTGCAAGGTGAGCGCATGAGTCTGACTTTCCTTGAAACATTGTACTTATTTATATATATTTGATTTTATTGTTAGAATACATTTGATTTATCTATCTATTTTATTGACAACTAAAGTAAAATTATTGGAAACAAATTCTTACTCATTAGCTAGATACGAGAATTCGAATTATTATTATTTCTAAGTGATACGAACATCACAAGACCATTAATTTATTTTTTCATTAATATTAATATTTATGAAAATTATAAAGGTATTTAAAATGATAATTTCATTAAAAAAACGATTATTATTTGTTTTGTTGTCATATGAAAAAATAATGGAAAATATAGCCCTATATTCTGCACTAACACAGGAATTTACGAATATCCGGTCAAAAATTTACACACACATACACAAATATACACACACATATTTACCCTAAAGTTTCATCCATACAAAATTTAAAAATTAGAATAATTTTCCAAAACATAATTCGAATATCTATCAGTATTTTTTTTATTTTTAATAATAAAACGTAAAAATAATTCATAAACAATCGAAATAACAATTTTTCGTCCCTTCAGTTTGTTAATAAGAATTTTTAGATACTTATGACAATAGTAGTAATATTATAAGATTACATTTTTATCATCACATTTTTTCAAATCTAGTGTTCGGAAAAATTTTTGATATAATCCTTGAATGAATATGATGAAATCTTCTGATGATTCTATTGCTCGAGTCCGCATAGAAAATGAGCTCATTATCATCAAGTTAATAATTTAATTGTGGATAACTATATCAGATTCGATTTATTTTATAATATTATTTCAGTTTAATATCTTTCTTGAAGCACTGTTGTAAAATCTATAGAAAATGTACGTGTGTGTGTGTGTATGTGTGAATGTATGCGTGTGTGCGTGTGTGCCCAGATCATATAAATGTTATATTTCAAGTCAATAATTTGTTCAAATTGAATATTTGACAAGAATGACGAGTGATGCTTAAGTGTTAATATAACAATTTATATATAGAACATACCTTGTTATAGTAACTTCGAAGTTTAATTTGTTAGTCGTATTGAAATTTTCTATCTTTTTTTTTAATAGAGTGATATAAATTCCTATTGCTACATTTTTATCAATATTTCAAAAACTGATAATAGTAAACAATATAGACACACCAGTATTTATATTTTAAAAATAAAAATTAGACAAATGGTATAAGTGTTTACATTTTGTTATCCCACTATAATAATATTCATTGTAGATGAGCTGAGTTACAATCTGAAATTGAAATTCTCAAGTTTGGTTAGGATGAACCGACATTCTGCTTTAAAGCCACGAGTTAGCTTCAGCGCTTCTATCGGCTAAAATTGTAAATCATGAGTTAAGTTTAGGTTTAGAAATCGCTATACTACATATGTATATATATATTACTCTAAGTAATTTTAAAAAGATATTAAGGAAGGAGGAGGAACAAGAATCCGCTAAGGGTAAAAACGTATCTTTATAAAATGAAAAATACAGTTATTTTCTAATTTTAAAAATATCTCATAATCCTCTTAGCGATTCTTACCTCTGCATATACTTCTAAGAACATTTATAACTTGAAGTTCTGTAAATTGTATCAGCTGTTCTAAAAGGTATAATTAATTATAATTAAATACTTTCAATATTGTTATTATATATCAATGAAAATAAACTATATAATACATTATTATTCTTAATATGCACTAAAATTGAATAATTTCTTTTACATTCAAGTTATTGATTTTCAAAAAAATTACTTATTAGTTTTTTATAAACCTGCTAGATGATAGCAAATAATTATAAATTTCAAATTAAGTCATTGGTCATACTTATCAAATAATTACTATATCTAAATAGGTAAAGTAAGTTATTTGTTGTATAATATAATTTTCTTTAATGTCTTATCATTAAGTAATTTATATTAGCATCAACTTAAAAGTTTTTGTTATAATACAAAAACTATGTATAAAAAATAAGTCAACGAAAATTTTTATAGTAAATCGATGTATGCTAACCATTTAATTGTAGATATGATATATATTTCAAAAATATTATATATAAGATGCATATTTTATGATATGAGCTGATATTAATAAGTGTATTTTTGAAAATAAACTTAATATTATTTACTAAAGTACTGATGATAATGATATAAGTATTGAATTAATAGTTATTCGGAGATGTGAAACAATAATAACAGATATAATTTTCGCTTATTTAATAATACTGAAAATAATAAAATATACGTGAATAATAAAAGTTATACGGAATTTAATGAACGCATAGTACTTTCAATTAATGTCTTGCGTACAAAAGTATTTAATCCGATAAGAATTAATGAATAAAATAACAACTAAAAACCTTTTTACTCGAAACGATGAAACGCTCGATCTTCAACAGCCAATCACAAGTCAAACAATGATCTACTCGATATGGCCACATCGTCACCGTCAATATGGTGATGCCCAAACTTCTAGCTGTCTTTTGTGAATGGAAATGATGAATAGATTTTATGAATGATATTGTTATTGTTATTGTTCTTATTATGATTTCAAGAACTACGACGTTAAGGTACACTATAGATACCTGTATGTATTAGGTTTGGTTCCCTGGTTCCTGGTTCATGATCCAATTTTACATTCACAACAAGAAAAAGATTATCGTATGATGCATAAACAATGAAATCAGTAGTAAGTACATTCAGCATTACCATGCCAAGTTAAACCTAGCCGTAATACTGATGTTTTTCTTTTAATTTATATTGTATTCTCTGTCAAAAAATTTTAGTAAAAGTTCAGTCACCGTACAGTTTGGACATTTATTTCTACTAATTTTGTAGTGCAACGATTACCGAAAATCGTTCGACTCGCGTAGGTTAATAAGCGGCTGAGCGGAATAGCCGCGATCGGTTCGAGAGAGAGAAGGCGCGTAGGGGCAATGACCGGGAGGGGAGAGTTCGGGAGTTAGTATGACTGTGTCACTCAGTCCGGCTAGATCTTCGCTACGGTTTTGTGTGCCAAAGCATTGAACATTTTATCGAGTGAAATCTGGGAAGCAAGGATTTTTCGCGTGAGAGTGATGCAGTGGGTGTGCGCATAGTTAAGCGTGTGCAGTGACGACAACCTCAGCGGTTTCAGCAATCCAGGCAGAAACGCATAGCGAGCGGCAGAGCACAACAGCGGCAGAGTAGCGAGCAGAGGAGCAGCTAATCAGCGGCGTGTGCATCGGATACGGTTGGCCACCGTATCCTCATCTATCTCGCGGTAGGTGCACAATCTTCTTTGTGATTGTTAGCGTGCGATCCTGCACAGCGTGCGCGAGGAAATTGTTTACAGCGTGCGAGCGGTTAGTTCGCGGCGGTGGCGAGGTTTTCTCTCTCTCTCTCCATCCGTTTACATTGTCAGATATATTTGCGTGCGAGAGTCTCTCGGCAAATCCCCCGTGTAATCGATTTAATCTAATAAAGCGAACAGTAGTTATTCCTAATCGAGTTATTGTTTTGTCTTTCCTTTGTCCGGGACGCATGTTTGTTGACATTCGATTCGAATAAGCCGGTAGCATAGCACGGGTCGCGCGGATATCAATAGAAGCGCCTTGCAAACCGAGTTTCCAGCAGCGGCCGGAGGAGCGCTGCTAAGCAAGAGCGACAGCGCCGCCAAGTGGCGAGTTGCGGAACCCAACTCGGATTGGCGAGGGAACTCTGCACAGGCGCACTCCCGGACAAGGTAGGTTAACGTGCTTACGGCACGCAGCTAACAAGGCGTCGTTTAACCGAAATAATAAATACGATTAATAGGTCACAGGTTAAACGGCTGCCTGTTACAGTAGGTTTATTATTTTCAATTATCACTTCGTCACGAGAATATCCAAGTCATGGGTTTTCCTTACATACGACTAATCCACAAACAGTATATGTCCAATGGCATTAAGACTTTATTAGTTCATGATGAAATGAAAATTACTTAGATTAATGGTCGTATATATAATGTGATAATATTGTATAACTTGAATTAAGAATTAATCGCTGTAAATTATATTTCTGTTTCGGAACTGAAGAATGAATTGAAAAAATATTTACCAGGAATATTTCTGTACTGACGACATTTTGACATAAAAAACTTAATTTAATTGAAGATTTTCTATACTCATGGATAATTGGATAACTGTAAAGAGTAAATTGTCATAAAATAAACCAAAGATTTTACAATAATTACTGAATATATACTTCTTTTACAAGAGTCAAATGTGAAATATAAATTACACAGGCCGACAAGGGTAAAGTTACAAAAACTAGAGTATACTTTCCCGAAGCATTTTGGTGTGCTGATCCGAATCTGGCCGTAGAATTGCTCCATTACGTCTAGGTTTTCGAGATATTCTAACCTAAAAGTGTGAAAAAAGCGGTTTTGGTCCATATTTCAGGTTATGTAGCATCGTGAAAAAATTTTTCAGCCAAAAACCGTTCAGACTATTTTAAAGTATAGGTCTCCACCTTTCAAATCGTGTTAAGTTTGTTCGGATATCTTTTTTTTTTTTTGCTGAGATCTCGCATTATAAAGTTTCATAGTTTTCAAATAGCCTACAAACCATATGCTTATATACGAGTAGAATAACAGAGAATCCGAATTCACGAATTCCAAATAATTAAACTTGAATTCAATAACCTTAAACCTGACAATCCAAACTTAGCAACCCTAAATCCAATAACCCCAAACCCTACAGACTAAATCCTACACACCCCAAATTCAACCCACCCCTACTAATCCCACCCCTTTTAATCTACAAGCAGTCAAATTTACCTAAATCTAGGGGTAGCATATAAAATAGCTTTTGTTATAGAATAATTACATCCTACAACACAAATAAGCTTACATATCAACTAACTCACCCTCCACCTAACCAACCCCTAGAAACCACCCTTAAGCAAGCATATACACCTCTGGAAACTTCGAAATAAATTGCTAATTTTTTTATCTTGAAATGGAATCAAATATGAAAAGGGAACCTACTTATCAAATCAACACATCCTTAACCCAACTAACCCAAGATTGTTTTTCTATCTCTCTTTGGTATGGATTTGTCTGAGAAGCTAGAATAGTATAAAAGTGAGTGAGATATTGTTAGTGAAATTTAACAATGAATAATATACTTTTCATAATGATATTAGTAATCTTGATCTTAGGAGTCATCCCTAAGATCAAGATTACTAATATAATTATCAAACATCAGGATTGAAAAAATTAAGAATAATTTATAATATACTTTTCAATTATAGAATCTATTTCCCCAAGACCCGATCGCTACCTCACGTCGCTCATCCTCATCTTTAGAGCTTCAATGACCTTATTTTCAAGTGACCATAAGTACTCACATGCACTCATATGCCGCATATAGATACTGCTTAAAATTCTGGAATATTTTGACAGAAATCTCATATATTTGAATGCCTGTAACAATATCATTGTAGATGTTTAACGGTAAGCTACCTGGTATGATATCAATAATCAAGTACTATGCTATCAATGATGATGCCTGGGCAGCATCCGCCATATAACATGAATATGCCACCACCTGTCGAAATAATTTTTGATGGTTTGTAAAAAATGTATATCAAGATAATAAATTGAGATTAAATTTTTTCTCAAATAAGTTTCGGAGTTTTTAATTTCATTGAAATGAACTAAATTGACACAGACATTTATCAGTGAGTTGATTCACTTATTGATAAATTTACAGCTATATAAATTGAAGTTTTGATAATTCCAACAATTAGTATATAAAAGTGTTTGAAACGAAACATTTATTTATGAGCCAACTTATATTTTATCTACAATATTTAAAAAACTTTATACTGATTGAAGCAGTGCATTGTAATAGAATTCACAATCAATCGTCTTCGTTATTATCTTCATTGTCTTCTTATGTGACGTCGTGGCAACGACTTATCTCAGGTGCGCCTGAGGCTTGGCGCAGTCTTAGGGTTCTGTTGTTGCTAGCCTGCGAATTCTCGCATAAACTAGCGGGATCACTATTTGAAAATTAATAATACCGAAGGGGACAGTGCCACTAAACCTATACTTCTGCTCTTGGATTCCAATCAATAGTTGTAATCCGAGAGCGCGAAGTACCCTGGGTCCTATCAGTAGTAGAACCCGGTTTTCTTGATATAAATTGTATTTGGAGCCTATTAAAAGTAATCTCC